AGAGTAGCACCTTGCTGTTTGAGAGATTCCTGAAATCCTGTTTGTTTGAGCATTACTGCTATTAACACCCTTCTGTTCTCAAGGGCAACTTTGTTCTAAATCCTCAACCATGAGCATATTCAATATCCAAGGCTTAGCCGGCTGCGGGAGAAGGTAACTAATTCATGTTTTCTTTTTTTGCAATCTGGACCCTTTTTTTTTTTTTTTGTATTGATTGTGTTCGCAGCTTTCTATCAGGATAAATCATGAATGCAATCCCGTTTGGCTCCCGACTTCCCCGCCGCCGCCGCACACGAATGCATCACGCGGGCAGACTTTTTCGAATCCCTCCATGCGTTTCAGCGCGACGTAATGTGACTTTGACAAAAATAAAATCAGACATGATGTTCATTGTAATGGATTAAGTTGTCCGTCATTCCATACAGACATTAAATAAAACCAGCGACTGCCAAGAAAGCAGCAAAACACATCAAAAATGGTTGGCAGTAATCCGTAATGCGCGTGGCTCCAGTAAATAGGCTGAAACATGCAGGAGGAAAAAAAAAAAGGTGGGGTCCTTTAATCTTTGAATTAAAAGTCAGCAGATTTGATTACATCAGAGGGGCTTTTTTTCCCTGATTGAGCACATCTTAAAATAAAAGATTCTTATAACATGTGGAGTAATATAGTTGTAATGCAAATAGGAGTTCACCTGCTTCTTCACGAGTTAAGCTCGCCGGTAATCACAAAAGAAAGCTGCTTGACAGGAAGATCGCGACATTAATCGAGATCCTGAGTGCATCCCATTTTTTTGACATTTTCACTTTTCAAAGCATTTTCTGAAGAATCCAAAAACTGTTATTGGGTTGCTTGAGGATAGGTTTTTGAACCCCTCTTTGCAGCTTTTTTGGAGTGCTACCCTTTTTAAGGTTACGCTGCCCTGGCTGACAGACGCTCGTGACACCCTCCTGAAGCATTAATGCAGAGTAGATTCAGCGCAGCAACATGACACACCGATGTGGAGGGACTGGAGGACAGAGCAACAAAAGATAAAACAATTTGGGGGGAGAGTAATAATTGTAAAAATAGCTTTTGATTAAATAATGTAGGAGATTGAGAATCAGATGAATTATATATGGTCATAGCCTGAATTGCGGTACATAATTGATGCACACGGTCGTACATTATGTAGCAACTGTCAACATGTGAAATGTCTTTGAAAAAATAATACAAGTGTGATTCTCAAACCACTTAAGGGCAAAGCGGAAGGAGGTGCTCGTGGGACAATGCTGGTGTCATGGCTGGACTTGCATGAATCATATATAGCTCGACTTTTTTTTCTTTTTTTTGTCATTTTTTTTCTCCTCCTCCCCTTAATCTGAGGCACCAATTTAACTGTCACAGAAAGTGTTGCCTTCAGGGTCGAAAATCCCCCAAAGGGTGAAAAAGATTAGAATGTCAAATGTCACAACACGCATTATAAATCCCTCATAAAACTGCGAGAAACTGCAAAGACACAGTGTGAAAAGTGGAAGTTGTTTTTTTTTTCAAGCATGAAGCTCAGTGTGATGCTTTTAGGAGAGAGAGAGAGGAAGGAAAAAAACACAACAATGTCTGTGAGTCTTTTTCTTTGTGATTGCTTTTATCTGTTTGCGAAAAGATATAACTTGACCAAATTAGTGCAGTATCACCTGAGTGCATTTGTCAGGCGTGCAGGTTGGGCGCCATGATTGCACCTTAATGGCGTATTATTAATTACGTTGTATTGCCTGTTCCCTTGTTTACATGTTTTAGAAACCCACAGTGCGCGGCATGCAGGGAGGCCAATAAGTGTTGCTGCTCAGGAGAAAATTGAGTTTCAACAGGGGCTGAGATGCACCCGCAAAATTACAAGTACAAACACTCGTCTGATGAAGAACTCATCTTGTTTTTAATATTCTCAAGGTAAGATTTATTGCAAAGAATGTGTCAGCCATCTGTTTTGTCTGACTGTGTTTTTGAGTGCTATTTATTGAAAATAAAACACACACACACACACAATGGACCACTTACGTCCCTTTAATTAAATCTATAAGCTCGGATCATGTCACGGTTGATTTCAAAACAGCTGCAAGGCAATGTTTCGCAAAGGACAACAAGTACATCACAGCGTCGGCTCTGAGGAGCCTTATGACTTATTGGTTGAATTATGACCACAAATGCGATCACGGCCTTTTAATTTTTAGACTGTCAATTAATTACATTTGAACCGATTGCAGTTTGTGAGCTGTTTTTGTTTTTTTCCCCCCTCGTGTGTGTGTGTGTGTGTGTGTGTGTGTGTGTGTGTGACTCAGAGGTTGTGTATTCCCAGTACATTGGAACCAATTTGCTGGAGGAGAAGTGAGAAGGGACACCGAGGAGCTGCAGCTAATGATAACGTTTTGACGATAACATTACGGCTGTAGCTTACAATTATTCTCATCGCAGATTAATCTGTCAGCCGTTTTCTTATTGTTTGCTCTTTGAAATGACAGAAAATTGTGCAAACGTCTGATCCATTTGTCCAAAAAAACCCCAAAGATAGTCAGTTTACTATCATGAAGGACAAAAGAAAAACAGAAAATCG